TAAATGAAATAAGCCAGACAGAGAAAGACAAATACCATATGGCTTCATTTATGTGTGGTATCTGAAAACCAAAACCAAACAGGAACAAATAAATGAAGAAACAAAACAGAAACAAAGTTATAGATATGAAGGAGTTCTATATCAAGTGACTGGCATATAATGTATGCTCCACAAAATAATATTTCACCATCTTGTACCTTTCTGTGCTATTCTTCCTTGTGATATGCCTTGAAAGACGTTCTATCTATCTATCTATCTATCTATCTATCATATTTATATTCCTTCTCTCAATTGGCAAGGGCAGGCTGTGCAGATTATAACCTTTCCTCCCAGAAGAGCCACGTTGGTCTGGTTTCTGATAGTCATTGTCTCCTGGACTGAGAAACCTGGAGCACCATCCCAGAGTTTGTAACTGAGCATTTTTACCTTAATGATCCTATCTGAATGGCATTCGTTTCATTTCTCTGTTTGGTGACTAAGATATACCACGTAATAATGACACTTACACGGAGGTTACCTTGATGTAAATCTGCCAGATGCTTCCAATTAGAATAACTGAATCTTAACTTTATTTGAAAAACTGTTGGTCAAATACATGAGGCCCCTCTTTTCTCTTAGGAAGGAGAGCATAAGGGTGCCATCAACTTTCTGTTTGCTGACTGAAGGTCTTGACAGAATGCAGCATCACAGGACAGCACGTTCTTATTAATCATATCTAAGCTTCAGAATGAGCTGCAAGATTATAAGGAGGCAGGGAAAGTCTTCTTGTGGCTGTGGGTAGGAAGTACCTTTCTACACAGGTGAGGTGTGTCTAGAAGGGAAATAATCCTGCTAAGAACAAGACATGTTGGTCTTACTGAATTCCCTTTATGGTCATGACTGTGCAAAAGACATTTTATACATCTCTATATGCATCTATTCAAACATATTGATATCTATATCCTGCATATTCAAATCTATCTATCTATCTATCTATCTATCTATCTATCTTTAGATTCCTTCTCTCAATTGGCTACGGTAGGATTTTCAGATTATAACCCTGATCTTATCCACTCTTCACTCACCTTATTGTTCTACTTTCTTGGATGCCAACCAGGTTTTCTCTCCATCTACACTTTTGTTTCTCCCCCGTAGCTGGATATATTTGTGGAAAATTCACAGAGAAACTGAGTTGTGAGGTCCTGTTCAGGAAAATGAAATAACATTTTAAAAACCCAGTCACAAATGTCTGTTTAATAATTCTTGATCGCTGGCCTGAGACTGGTTTCAATATTTCTGAATATTCAATGCCTGGAAGCTAGCACAAAATGATGATCTAAAACTGCCAGAAATTTGCTTCCTGTGGTTCTGAATGTGAAAGCAGGAACTTTGGGGCAGGCTCCTTTCTTCCTTTGTGAGGGATCACTTTGGTGAGCCTTCTCCGTCATACCCACTTACATTAAGTAGCTAATCGCTGCCCTTGAGGTAGCTCAGGGCTTGGGAGAGTCATCCAAGAGCAAATATTTTATAATGGAATATTAAACATTCTGTTTAATAATATAAAAGGCTGTCCCAAGTGGTGAGGAACATCTATACAGATCTTTATTTTCTTTAATGAAGTGTTTAGCATTTCCCCTGACCTGCCTGGAAATAGGATTTGTGCCTAGTGGGTGGGATCTGGGACTGAGGGAGCAAAGAGATGGGAGGAAGGGCTCCCACTGGCTGCTGGGCTGAGGAGGTCAACTCTGTAACTAGATAGACTGGTGTTTGGAATCTATTTCCAGGGGGAAAATGGGAGGGGAGGGGACTTCCATTAAGACATTAGTTAATTAGCTTATGAATATCCTTGAGAATTCTGTATGCACTACTAAGGCAATTTGCTCTTTGAAATATCTACTGAAGCTCTGGAGAAAACCCAGGAGTATTGCCTTTTGTATCTGACACAATCCTTAGAGCCCCATGGGCAGCCTCCCCTTTGGTCAGTTCCAGATAACAATCACACTAGTCAGAAGTCTACCTTGCAAGTGACAGTAATCCCAAAGCATACTAGCTTATTTAGAAAGGGGCTTCCCTCTCCCCTCTGCTTCTCGCCCATTGTCCTTTATTTCTTCACAATGGAAAATGCTTTTGTCCATGTGGTAGATTCATACTCACTTGACTTCATGCCTTCTAGCTCCTTGACACCAAAGGTTCCAAATAGAAAAACTCAGGGAAGAACTCTGATTGGCCCAGCCTAGATCACACACTCACTTCTGGCCTAATCACTGTGAGAAGAAGGTGTTGTGATTGGTCTGATTTGGGTCATGGGCTCACTTCTGTGGCCAAAAGGGTGAGGTACTGGCCTGATTTCCGACTGCCAGCTCTTACATCTCTGAGTAAGAGTTTCTCTGGCCACTAGAGCTCACTCTGCTCATGAACAAGGCAGGTTGCAAGTGCTGAGGAATAACTGTCTCCTGGTCCTCAACCAATGACTAATGGGAGTGAGTGTATAAATACTAAGGTGTTCCCTTCTCCTGGGGTGACAGAATTCTAAGACATGTATTCTACACCAACATACCAGAATGCCAGAGTGGAATGAAACTCCAGTTCACCACAGTTGCTTCTTGCTTAGCATTGCACTCTCTAGCTGCTTCTTTCTCTTCCCTGTTTCACCCACCCTCCACTTTACCAACATTTCCTGAGATCATCTCCTGTTTATGCTTCTTGCACTTGTGTCCTTTTCTCAGTGACTTCTTCTGGGGAAACCCAAACTAAGGCAGTTACCATGATTGGCAGCTCATCTAGTGACTCAAATGGGGATGAGGAAGTGCCAGAGGAAGTGGTGGCTCTGAACTCACATAAACAAAGCTGTCCACTAGAAAAATATGTCATGAGGAAAAGCACAGAATGAGAACTTACATAAGCCACTTACAACTGGACCAACATTTGGGCACAAAACATGTCTGGACGGCCATGCCCAGGGAAAGCAGACAGACCTCCCCAGCAGGTTGCTCTGGAGAGAAAAATGTCAAAGGACCTTGGGGTCCGGGGTCCAGTGAAAGTTGTATCTTATGCAATATCTTTTCCTCCATTAATTCATTAATCTTAAGCCTCTCCTGCCCCAGCTGAATGTTAGCCAAAAAGCTATCATGGAGAAGGATAGGGCTGCCTCCTCAGATGCTGGCCAGAGGCTGGGCACTTGGCTTATGTTTGATGACATTTCCATTAGACAGTTGGGCTTGTGTGATGGCCTGTGCATGGGCAGTGATAAAAATGCTCTCCTTATCTCTGTGTCTCAGCTGTGAAATCCCTGCCTCTTTCCATTTGGGTTTATTGGTTTCTGAAGCCCAGCTCTTCCATGCATGCCATGGGTTGAATTGTCTAGAAGCAGCACTTAAGAGGGGTACAGGGCATGAGACTTGAGAGAGTGCCTGTCAGGTAACACACACACACACACACACACACACACACACACACACACACACTCACACACACACTCACACCTCTGAGGTTGTGAGAAAAACAAAATGTTAAAGATAAAGGAGCCACACTTAAGAATCTCAGATAAAGTCTAAATCTGGGGTGTCAAACTTCAGCCCTTGAACCAAATCCAGCTACCGCCTATGTTTTTCAATAAAGTTTTATTGGCACAAAACCACACCCATCATTTACATAATGGGCAGAGTTGAATAGTTACAACAGAGACTGGATGGCAAAGCCTACTTATTTATGATCTGGCTCTTTACAGAAAAAGTTGCCAACCCCTGCTCTAAACTTGTCCCAACCCCTGGGAGCTCTGTGGTATCTATTGCTCCATAATTCATCCCCACCTGAGACAAAGGCTGGTCTTTGGATCTTAATGTCAGCTGGATGTTGGTCGCTGGCCACACCAGGTGGTGAGGGTGAGGTGCATTAAGCGCCCTAGAACTTGGGTGGTGGCTCCGATCAGCCTAGAGAGCAATTTTCCTGATACTTGGAGCAGCTGTGAGCTGTTAGCGGCTGACACAGCAGCTGGGAAATGGGTGCATGTCTGGGAATCTTCAGGGCACCACCAGCAGCCCTGCCGTGTTTGTCTGGATCTGCACATGTGCTTCTTGAAGTTGGAGAGAACCTGTATTTCCTGCCTGAAATGGAGCCATAATTATGTCACCTAGACTCCTGTCTCCCATTTGACTCTTGCCTCTTGTTCATCCATCTCATTGCTCTCAGGGTGAGGATGAAGCCCTTAACAAGGTTACTGGGTCCTGCCAGCCTCTCAGCCCCACCTGGTCCCACGTCGCTCAGACCCTGCTCTGCAGCCATGCCTGGCTAGTGGCCACGGAGCATTCTTTCAGTGTCTGAGAATGAATGCACTGTTCCCTCCAACTCAGGACTTTCATCCATGCTGCTTCCTCTGCCTGGAACGCCCTCCCCAGCACCTTCTACCTCCCCACACTTGACTAACATCTAGATCTCCAAATCTCAACTCAGAGAACATTTCCTCAGAGAAACCTCTTGAATCTCCCCACGAACCTGATTTCACATAAGTAACCAGTACTCAGTTTGTGTGTCTTGACGTATTTTTTCTTTGCAAACCACAGCACACAAAAATATGCGTAGATTTTCTTTTATTCAACAAAAATGCGATGTTCTTTTTAAAAAATATATTTTTATTGATTTCAGAGAGGAAGGGAGAGGGATAGAGAGATAGAAACATCAATGATTAGAGAAAATCGCTGATCAGCTGCCTCCTGCATGTCCCATACTAGGGATCGAGCCTGCAACCCGGGCATGTGCCCTGACTGGGAATTGGACCGTGACCTCCTGGTTCATAGGTCGATGCTCAACCACTGAACCACACCAGCTGGGCAAAAAAATGCTATATTCTTTTCTTTTCTTTTTCCTCTTAACAATATAAAACCATAAGAAACTATTCAGTTTAACATGGTTAACTGATTTTTAACTTATTGTTTTCTGGTGGATGAATGATATTTCATCATATGTATGTATATATTATGTACATAATATGGATGTACAATAATTTATTTAAGAACTTTGTGAGCATGGATTATGTTCTAGTTCCTAAGTTGGCTGGTGGGTGAATAACTTCCATATATGTGCATGTATACTTGCTATTTATCAATTACTACATAATTAAATTTAAATAGTGAATAGGAATAAGAGAATGAACATGCTCAAAATAACAGTAAAAGAAATGAATGTTCAAATTAAAAAAATTATTTCCATATTGATAGGAGTTCAGATGGTTTCTCTATGAGTATGTGTGTTTTCACTTTACAAACAACAGTGCAATGAACATCTCTCAACAAATATCCTTACATCCTGGTGCTTATATTTCTGAAGGCTCAGTCCCTAGAAGTGGAATTATTTGATCAACATGCACATGCACTCTAAATTCAGGACCCACTCCCAGATTCCTTTCTGCAAATGCAGCAGATCACACCAAATCCACCATCAGTTGATGAGACTGCCCAGTTTCTAGCTTCCTTGCCAGTATTGGTGTCTTTCAATGTTTTCAATGTTTTCCCATCTCTTGGCAAAGGAATGGCTTCTCATCATTGTTCAGACTTGCATCTCCTTGACTATTATGAAGTTGATCATCTTCTTATTCATATATTGTTTTGATAATAAAAGTAGTCCCTACAGGTCCTAGCCTAGTAGCTCAGTTGGTTAGAGCGTCGTACTGATATGCCAAGGTTGTGGGTTCAATCTCCAGTGAAGGCACATACAAGACGCAACCAATCAATGCATAAGTAACTGGAACAACAAATCGATGTCTCCCTGTCTCTCTCTTCCACCCGGACCTCTCTCTCTCAAATCAATAAATTAAAAAATAGTCCCTACAATGATAGGACCTTGTGCTAATTTATGGTGGAGGTGGAGACTTTCTGGGCACATCCTTTGCCTTTATCATCTGTCCTCACCTGCTCTCTAGTGAAGACTGTGTTCTGTGGTTCTGATTGTGTCCCAACATCGGTTGCTGTTCTCTCATGTCCCCAAAGGATCCGGAGTTTTGGTCTCGATGAATACAACAATGGTGGGGTTGGCAGAAGGACCTGTGCTCTCTGTGACCATCTCCCTCTGTCTCTTCATTTCCAGACTCTACCCAGATGAACAATGCAGTGCCCACCTCCCCTTTGCTGCAGCAGATGGGCCATCCGCATTCGTACCCCAGCCTGGGCCAGATCTCCAACCCCTATGAACAGCAGCCTCCTGGCAAAGAGCTCAACAAGTATGCCTCCTTGAAGGCCGTCGGTAAGTGCTGTTTTGTTTCTCCTCTCCTCTTTCTTCTCTACTTTGCTGTTCCATCCAGATCTTTCCCTCTCTCTCCAACTTTTTTTCAACTCCTTTTCCATTCTTCTAATCTCTCCCTTTCTTCATCCATCTATCTCTCAAAATCTCTCTCTTCTCTTTCTTCTTCTCTTTTTCTATCATCTACTATCTATCTATCTATCTATCTATCTATCTATCTATCTATCATCATTCTACCTACCTATATATTCTGGATTTATCTACCTGGGATATAGTTTACTAAGGATCAGACCCTTCAGATGCTTTCTGTGTGTCCCAGGTCAAGTCCGTCCTGGCTGTGTGGTGCAGGATGGGTGGGCAGCACATGTTGGGGCTGTTGCCTGGGGAGGAGGATCCGTATGCTCATCAGGTCTCACTGACACCTCAGCCCCTTCTGCATCTACCATCTGCCCTGGTGAATCCTCGGGGAATCTAACATAGAATCAGGACATGGAGTCACTGAATGCCTTGCCCTTTAGTGGACAGAATTCATCTACACACATTCTATCTCTGAGAAGTGGGTGAACATCACATTCCCATCCCAGGAAGCTTCCGCTCTTCAGGATGTAAGCATTTCCTGGGACAGGCAGCCTGGAGCTGCTACTAACCGAGTTCTTACCAAGTGCGAGACAGTGCACTGGGCCTTTTGACCCTGTCTCATTTCCTCACAGTGATCCAAAGAGGAAGGCCAGTTATGGTTCCAATTTTCTGATTAGGAAACTAAGACTCAAGGAGGCTAATTGAACTTGCCCCACATCAAGCAGCTGTGGGCGACCGAGCTGAGACTTGAACCTGTGTTTTTATTACTCTGGAGCCTATGCTCCTGCCACTACCCTCCCACAGCCCTTCGGTCCATTCCCCAATCAGACATGAGGGAGTGTGACAGTGACCAAGGATCTTCAAGAATGTACTCATGACAGAGTCCTATTGGGTGACAGCAACAGCCACGGCTAAGTCAGACTTTGGGCAAACAGAAGACCCACCGACCACGTGCTTTCTTTTATTATCAGCTTCTCATCCTCTTTTCTTCTCCCACTGCCAAGGCACTCATTAGAGATGGAGTGGGAACGCTTGCTGATCGATTCCAGTGTGAAATATCCTAATTCCATTATAGAACTCACACCAGAAACCCAAGCACAGACACTGTCACGTGTCTATGATGCTTGTGGTTGCCATGGTCTACAAACATCGGACTCACAAAACGACCACATTGGTGCCCAGCAGACAGCCAGGCACATACTAGGAGCTTAGTATGTGTTTGAGCCAGAACTCTATCTTTAGGAATTCTTGTTCCCTGATCTCCTAGGATTTCCAGATGGAACCCTGCAAAGATGGGTTGAGCCAAATTTATAATACCAAGGACGCGGGCTGTGCAGACTGACACGGGCTTTTCTAAATCTGAAGCTTCATAAGACCTTACATACCAGTCCCCTATGCTTCATGTTTAATTTCTACACCCAACTGAACCCTCATCCGCATCTCATGACCACAGATTCCTCTATTCCATATTGTGTGTTTGCACAGCACCTACATCTTAAGCATGTTCAAATAGACTCAGATATCACTAGGAAGGGATGAGGGCTGTTGCCTAGGAGAGGAAGAGTCAGGGCATCTGTGTCGATGTAACTGTGGAAGCCTCGTTCACTATTTGATGGCCTGCCTCCCATTCGGAGCCTTGCATTTAGGTCATAAATAGTGTCTGCTCTTAATATTTCATTCCTTTCTTGGCACAAAAAAATCGGTCCAGATGCTTTATCTTTTGGAACTGGTCACATTACCCTAAACAACTCATTTGTTCAACTTAGGCTCAGCGTCTCATCCCCCCTCAAAACCCAGTAGCTCCTTGGGTAAATAATGGATACATATTACCACAGAGTTCCTTGATTTCAGAGTTCAGGATTTATGTATCGTGCAGAGCAAATGTCTGCAGTGCATTTGGAATTAAATCTGCAGTATGACAATTTATTTGACATTCTTTGAGTAGCCTTTCTTCCTCAAAGGAAGAACTCCTAAAATGTTTGTTGAATGAATGAATGAACTTGTATTTGACGAGAATCAAAGAATAGCTTAGTAGGAAGAGAGCCACACCTCTATATCCTCTAAAACTTGTGAAGGATCTCACTTGGGGAATACTCCCTAGTCCTGGATATGATTAATGGGCCCTCTTGCTTCTTCTCTGACTATTGTGGGGGTTTAAAGATAGTTTTGGGAATCTCTAGTGAGTGGAAGTCCACTGAGGAGCTGACTGAGGGACTGCCTGACTCAATGGGTTACCGGGAGTCCAGGATCTGCCTGCACAAATGACATGCAAATCCCATAATAAACATTATTTCAAGAGTTCTTTATTAAGTCATAATGTGACCATGGTGTGAATGATGGGATACATTTCATTATTGAAATCATTACTACCCAGGCGAGAAGTCGTTTAAAAAATGTTTTGCTGTTAAAAGCTCAGCAACCTCTGATAACCAGACTTATTTTATAAAAATGTCAATTCAGTAAATAAGAGGAGACTTGGACAGATTTTAGAGTGAACTGCCAAGTTTAAAAATACCGCTGAAAAATAAATTTCTCCTGGTGGCTTTAATATCCAGAACATCAGGTGGGTTAGGTGGTCACTGAAACCCTTCAACCCAAGTTCCTGCATTTGAAAAATGAGGAGGCTGAATTATATGGTCTCCAAGCACCGCTCTAATTTTAAAATTAGAAAGTTAAACAATCTCACTCATTCTAGTTATTACAATATCTAGTTATTACAGTATGGGCCATTAAATTGTCCCATTCATTCAATTCCAACTCTGGGGAGAAGAGGGTAGTAATTGTTGGTTGTTCCTTTTAATTTAATTTTGTTGGTTTGCTTGTTGAAACACACTCACTCATGTTTAAAGAGAGCTCTTTTCTCTCTGTAATTCAGGAATTATAACATTTGCTTTTATATAGCATGGGACTACAGAAGCATCTCTGTTCCCAAGGGATTCACTGCCCAGTTATCGGTAAAGATTACCACATGTTAGGGAAATGTCAGAGGCTAAACCTCATCGGACTCTGTACAAGAATGAGGGATGGAATTGACTTATCATATGTTCATTCATTCATTCAATCAATCATTCATTTATTCATTCCCCAAACATTTAATCTGACATCCCTTTTTTATAGGTTTCATTGAGGCATGAACCAAGTCTGCCCCATGCATCAGTGTATCCCCGGCATCTAGCACCATGTGGGGAACTTGATAAGTGATCCCGCTATATATTTGTAAAACTGGTGAATAATACCATGTAACCCCACATCAAGTCAGGAGCAGGAGGTGATCAGCAAGATGGCAGAACAGCATCTGCAACATGGCCTCCTCAAGTGGTCAGGACTGAGTTTAAGATCTAGTTCAGACATTTACAAGTAATTGAAGAAATTACTTAACCTCCTCAGGTCTCAGTTTCCCCATCTGTAAAATGGAGATTAAAAATGTACAGCTAGTGGTTAGGTGGAAAGATTTAATGATACAGTGCATGGAAAGTGCTTGACCTGGTCTATAGTCTGGCCTCAGTAAATTCTGCCACACATTTAAGAGTTGTTTGTTGCTCATATTTTTTTCCCTGAATCTCCAAGATACACTGGTGCCTTGATTAACACGCAATTGCCCAGCTTGCACTTTGAAGGAAGTAGATAGATCCATATCCTTTCCTCTAGTTGGATGGGAAAGACGTGCCTGAAAGCTCACTCACTGCGGGAATTTCATAAAACAAATAAGCAAGTAAGCAAACAGCAGATGACTTTTCAGAGGACCAGTAAAGAGGCAGCCCAAACCTCTTTGCCCGCCCCATCTGTCTCCTGGACAGTGAAGACCCATGCCCAGGTGAAGGGCGACGGTCTATCAAAGAAGGATTCTATTTCACTCAAGTAATCCTCTTACTAAGTCAGGAATGTGGGTACAAGCATTTTAGAAATGTTTTCCCCAAGATGGAAGTCAAGAGGTGTGTCTGATGATACACTGAACCAAAATGTTGCCTAAAAATCTAGGTAAGCACCCAAGTTCTCTGACTTGAGCCACCAGTGTGAGGGGTGATTACAATGTGAAGACCCATTTTATGGTTCCTCATAGGTCAGTCCTTATAAGATGAAGGGGTTTGTCAAAATATCCCTAAGCATCACCTGATAGTTCAGAGAAGGGTGAATCCTGCCTCCTGAACTAGAAAAGGCCCGCCCTTTTCTGCAATTACTGATGGATTTTGCCAACAGAAGATTGCCCCCACATTGGCATTTATCTCCCATAGGCCCCAAGTCTAGTTTCTCCTCTCGGTGTCTGAGACTTTAAATCCTCAGCCACCAAAGGTTCCCAAGAACGTGCCCTTTAGATGCTTCAGTGCAACTTTGGTTGCCTAGTGAGAGAGACAGGATGTACCAGCATGACTGATAGAATGCTGTGCGTGGTGCCTTCGTTTTTAATTCAAAATTTTAATAAGAAAATATTTTCTCTGTTGCTGTTTGACAAGACGATGGACTATTTTTGCTGGAACCGTGTTACATTTTCCAATAGCACTTCTTAAAGCCACAGTAACAATGCGTTTAGACATGTGGAAATTGCTTTTTCACTTTTTTTTTTTTTGGTGTGAAAACCCTAAATGATGCATACAGGCCTCACCCATGAAATGACCTCTGTTAGTTTATTATTTTGTTTAAAGTTACGGCAGAAAGGGAGCTGGTATCTTTGAACGCCCAAACAGTATACCTCTGTGTTGTTCCAGTGTTTTACAGATGGGGAAAGTGAGGCTCTGTATAGTTAAGTGATTTTCCCAAAGTCACACTTTTGTAGATGACAGAGATAAGAGTCATATTTAGGATTTCCTGATGCAGAATCCTATGTTCTTTCCACAAAACGACGCTGTCATCCAGAGAGCAATTTCTGGCATCAGAAGGATATAACCAGCCAAAAAAAAAAGGTGGAGGAGGCCCATTCTCCTCTTTTTGTAGGGGGAGACTTAGTAAGGTGTTAATTGTTTTCCATTGTTTGAAGACAAAAGTTTCCCCGTGATGCTGAGTATAATTGAAATATATTTAATGTATATTATAGTTGAAGTATAATTTACACATAATTAAATACACAGATCATAATTTTACAATAGTGTGATTATTAAAATATACACATACTAGGGTAACCAACATCCCAGTAAAGATAAGAAATATTTTCATCTCCCAGAAAGCTCCCTCATGTCCTCTTCTTCTCAATGCCTTAGGTCCATCCCTTTTTAATAAGAATTTAATTTTTCACACCCAAAATGTTTATCTAATGCCCACTAGTGCCAAGTGCATAGTGAAACCTTACCTCTATGTTTTGATAGCCCATGTGCCCTCTGAGTCAGTGTCCTTATTATCAATGGATTTTATGAAACAAAATTTGTCGGAGCGAAGCCCTTTCTTGGGTAGTGGGGACAGAGGTGACCACAGCATGGTTCCTGTCTTCAATGCAAACAGTGATGGCTTTGACTGGGGGTGACAGGGCTTCCTTGAGGCCAGTGACTCAGTGACTTGGTCAGGCTTGTGTCCACCCACAGAGGACGACTGGGCCAAGTAACTGTTTCCAAGTGTCAAAGACCCCGGCTCAGAGGAAGAAGAAACAGGAAGTCATCCTGGGCGGGTTCCACTTAATTTTAACTTGTTACTCTTCTCCTGTCACTCCAATTTCCCCTCTGTTGTGAGTGATGAGGGTGTAGAATTCAGATCCACAGGGGGAATGTGGCAATTTGAGTGTCCTTTGGAACGCCTGTGAGGCCAACCGGAACTGTTTAAGTGGGGACAGATTTGTGCTCTGTAATCATTCAGATCACAGACTGTTCCCTGCGTCTCCTCTCAGCTGGCAGTCTGACGTGTCTCTGGAAACTTTAGAAAAATGTTGAGAACTTGGTCTTTCCTGGTTGATTCCTAAGAAAGAGAAGCTGGTGGTGCACACTGATTGATCAGACCTGTAGCCAATGGGCAGAGGCTGCTGCAAAGACACGTGGGCAGGTTTGCCCCGCTTTGAGTAAAACCCAATCTTACAGAGAAAGCCTACCAAGGACAGGCTAGGGTGTGTAGCCAGAGCCATCTTTTACTTTATGAAAGGGGTCCCCCTGGAGTTCTGCTAATAATGTGAGAGTCCCCCAGCGCTCATTCGGAACCTCTGAAATGGAATTCAATTTGGAGAAATTGATTTATAATAAAAATTCTGGGCATTATGGAATTCTCAATTCACCAGCTTAGCTTTTAAGGGAATTTCCATACCTTAGGAAAAGTGAATCCTTGGAGAAACTTGAATTCATTCATTCATTCATTCATTCAACAATATTTTTCAAACACAGCTGCAGTCAGCAGGGTCTGCCCCTACCTGGAATTTGATGCTAATAATGCACCCCACCCCTTTTTCAGGAGGGGGATTGCTGTAAACCAGGATCAAAATGTATCCCTTGTCAGCACAGTGTTGTCATCATTAACCAAAGTCACCTCATCTAAACAGATTTTTCTCTGTTTCTTAGAGGGTTGAGATTTAGAGCTACTCACTGTCTAAGAATTCTCTCTCCCTTTACATTACTGAAAATATCTAGGCCTTTTGCAGGGGGCTTCTTTTGATCCTTTGTGGGCTTTGTCTTGAAACTGCTTCAAGGCCTTGCAGAAAGAGATGCCCACATAACTTCATTTGCACATTTGGTCCTTCGCCCTGTTCCCTGTGTCCCCTGAGGCCTGTCCCTCTTGGAGGCTCCAGCTGGGGCCGCCAGCAGCACCTGGATGTGAAGACACAGCGAAACCGAAGCAAGAAACAGATCAGCATCTCTCCATTGTTATTTTTTAGGAAGTTCTGATGGTGACTGGGCAGTGGCGACACTTAAGTCACCAAAAGGTACCGAACGGTGTTCTGTAGCTTGTTTGTACAGGTGTTGTCAGACTTGACATTAATCAGTGAAGGCACAGAGAGTCCCAGTGTCTATGTATGACTCAATGCAAACGTGTGTCTGTGTTGGGTGGACCTGCAAGTCCATCTAAGCGTCTAGGTTCTAGTGTATAGACGTTGTGTGTGTGTGTGTGTGTGTGTGTGTGTGTGCCGGGCCCATTGTTGAAGAATTACTACTTCTTGCTTTCCAATATATATTGCCTGAAGGAAAATGTCACTCCCAGAAACCATCCCAGATAAGACCTCTGGGAAATGCTGCTTTGTCTCAGAGAACATGGCAAAACACAATGTAAATTAATGCAGGAAAAAACACAACTTCCGAGGGAGAGATAAACAGATAGATAAACAGAGAGAAAACATTCCCAGGATCATTGGGAATGATTAGGCTTTTAGGGAACAGAACGCTATTTTCAACTTTGCTGAGGTAGCATCAAAAGTTAAGGAGTTGGTCTACTTGAAACTAGCTGTGTGAGCAGGAGGTGGATAGAGCTTGTTACCTCCTTACTATGTGCCACGCAGAGTGCTTTGTTATCATTTAATCCTCCCATGTCCCAGCGGGGTAGGTGTTGTCAATCCCCTTTAGAGGAGATTGGCTTGCCTACAGTCGCAGGGCTGCTAAGTGGTAGAGCTGTAATTTACACCCGTGTCTCTCTGACTGTAATGTCTAAGTTATTTCCCATGGTGTGATGGGAGCAGCTCTTTTCAGAACAGACTGGAAACTTGGTTCTCTTCTTTCTTCACTCTGGTGCTTTGTTGGATCGGTGGTGGGGAGAATGTAGGCGACCCAAAGATGTTGAAGTAGAACTCTTTCATGACCTTGAACAGGGGGAAATTTGAAGGCATAGCAGGACTTTAGGCAGGATCCTAGCACCACCAGTTTTGCATTCTCAAAAGCTAGATCTGGTTTCCAAGTGGAGACTGGATTAGGAGAGAGTGGACTGGCATTGGTGACACCCACTGGGAGGCGCCTGCCATCACCCAGGTGGGCGGTAACCTGAACTGGGGCTGGTAGAGGAAGGAGAGAAGAAAATGGGGGTAGAAGAGTAATTAAGAAACTGGAATACAGTGAATGAGTGCATGTGAGTGGGAAGGAGGGAGTCATGGGCCCACCAGTGGTTCTCACATTTGAGCCATTTGAGTGCATGCACGTCAGCATACCCTGAAGGGTTGTTAAAATCCAGATTCCTGGGCCCCATTAGAGATTCCTATTCACCAGCCTTGGGTGGGTTGAATCGCTAACAGATTCTAAGGTGATGTTGATGCTGCTGGTCCGGGGACCACACTTTGGAAATCACTGCAATTGGAAACGACCCTTTGATTAGGTTTCCAGGTATCCTGTGGGCTGAGGGTTCTGAAGAGAGGAGCTTGACCAGGGTCCCAGAGGCTCAGAAACAACCTGAGCTCTGGGGGAGGGGGGTGAGAGGGGCTGCACTGCATTCCCTTATTAGGAGCCAGAGCTTTAGATCCTCGTGTCTAATGAGAATCCCTTGGCGACTCAGTTGTTGCCTTGAAAGAGGCAGATTTTCGGGTCTTGCGTTAGATAATAACTAGTCACATGTCAACATCCATTTTTAGAAATGCAAACAATTTGGAACATGACAGACCTACTAATTTGAGGCATAAACTTTTTTTCTCCCCTGTGAAAAACAAAGCCATTATGAGTCCCGTGACAGCATCAGGAGGCAGTCAGCATCCCTGTCCGTATTATCAGCCTGTTGTCTGATGCATTTAGAAAATAGTTCAAGCTGGGTCAAAAACAAGGCTTGGAAGCTGTTTTTCTATGCCAACCGGGCTAATTTCACCTGTCCTGCTAAATGCATCTTTTTTTATCCTGGCCTATCTAGGGAAGAGAGAAGGGGGCCCAGAGAGGGCCAGGTCGAGTTCCCCGGGGGTCACTGATCTTCTTCTAGCCTGTAGACCCCGAGTCTCAAGTCACCATGAGGCGTAATAACAAGATTGGGGAGTTTGTTGGCTCCCACACTTGCCACCTTCTTGAAAGGAAGACATAAGTAGGGAGTGATGGGCTTAGCCTCAGACATGCCTGGGTTTCAAGTGTGGCCCCTTTGTTTGGTATTCTTGTTACCTTCAGCAAGTCACTCTACCAATCTGAGTCCCTGATTTTTTGTAAGAATGAGATGAGACATCGTGTACAACACATGTCACAGTGCCTGGCATGTGGGAAGTCTATATGCATGAGGGCCATGACTAGTATCATTACTGTTACTATCAGGTGAACTAATGAAAGGTTCTGAAAAATCCCGTGTCATAAACACACCAATTTGTATAAACCACCGTTTTCTGACCAATTTCGACGTCTGAACTCTTCACTTTAGGAAAATCAGTTAGTATTTTACCATCCAATGGCAGGAATATTGCTAGCAACCCACTATGGGGACATAGGGAATGAGCCAATAAGAAGGCAGAGGGGTGAGTGTCACCTGGGGAGGCTGGATAAGGGAGGGGTAGCTGTGAAGGAGAAAGGACAAGGTCCCACACTGACTGTAAGTCACTTTGGAAGGGAATCATATCTGCCAGCAAAGGAAATGATAACAGCATACCAGTGTGCACTATTCACTTATCGCTACTTAGGTCTCCCATGCAGGTCGCCCGCTAGTGGTCCTGCTATTGATCCACCCATGCCCAACCCTGGGAAGTCTTGGCATATTCTTTTAAAATCCAGGACAGAAGACACCACCACCTCAAGCCCAGGGGACTCTACTAATCACAATAGAAAGGAACATCGTTTGAAATCTGTTTATTTTGCAAAACGAATCCTCGAACCTGACACTGAACTTGGGGAAAACTGCCAGCACAGTACTGTGATTTGATCGCTCTGGCTCTGATTAGAATCAGGCTGTACGCTCTTGTGCAAGCCATTCACATACCCAGAACATCCATTTCTACCATTTCCAAAGCAGAGGCGATGATAATATCCACCCTCCATCGGGGTTGGGAGAGTAATTTTATGAGACAATGCAAGTAATACACTTCAATGAAGACAATGAAGAAAATACACTTCACTCAACCTTTCTGCTTTTACAGATGAAGGAACTGACATGAATGTGATAAATGATGTTGCTCAAAGTTACACAGGAAAATTACATCACACCCAGGACCAGGACTCAGACTTCAAAGAATGGCTTAAAGACTTGATCCAAAATTACTGGAGATGCTTGTTAGAAGTGCAAATATTATACTTGGATGAGGGGGCCTCCACATTTTTCATTCACTTTTTAAAGTACACCTTCTAGATAATTCTATGTAAACTAAAGTTTGGACCTACTTTTCCTAAGACCCAATCATAGATGCAAACACAATTTTCCCTCAAACACCATTTTTTCACATGCCAACCCTCCTCCAGACATGATTACTTATGTTCTTTGCTGAAGTAAAACTGTTTTCTTAGTTGGAGTTTGAGCTGGAAGGTAAGGATGCTGGAGATGGACAGTCTTGGGTTAGCTGTCCTGCTCTGCTACTTATCAGCTGTGACAGAATAATTTGGCAGCCAAGTTACTTTATATCTCTGGGCCTTCATTCTCATCTGTCACAGGGAAAAAATGATATTGCCTTGCCACCTATCTTAAGAGGGTTTAAGTGAGATAATGTTGGTGAAATGGCTAAAGCAATGTCTAGTACATAGTAGGTACTCAATAAATCTTAGTTATTTCCTTTTTCCCCAAGAAAACTGGTATCATTTAGTGATAAATGTGCATCCAAGAGATGCCAGAGAAGGCACAAGGCAGAGAGAATGTGTAATTTGGGCTTCAGTTCTGCTGGAGTGCACACCTCTTGGGGGAAGAACTCACCTGAAAGCAGCCGTAAAACATTACTTCATGAAATTCAGGCTTTTGAAGTTTTCTGATTTGGATTATTGGTTTTCTCGTCAGCAGTAGGGTACAGAGCGGGTGGAGGATAGGAAGGTGATTTTCTTTTTTATTAAATAAAAATCAAACCCCACCAGTTCCTGAGTTTGGCCTTTTCTGAAAAGCACACAGCAAGCACTGGAGTTTTGATGAACTTCCTTGGGATCCTATAGGGAATGAAATGAGTCAGTGGAGGAGATTCTTTGCTTTGCAGAAAATTCCATTGCAGCAAGATTGCAACAAGCATTTGAGTAGTTTGAAAGTCTGTCTCTCTGAGGCTAAGCCAACCAGATCATGTCATTTCAAACTTCCCCAGCACCTTGCATGGTGCCCACAGCACACAGAAGATGCTCAGTGTACACTTTATTAGTAAATTATTAAGTGAAGCTGGGCATCCTGTTGTCTTTTCTGAATAGGTGCTGGGATATAGCAGAAAAATCAACCAGATAGAAGTCAGGAGAACTGTATTATAGACTCAGGGCTGCTTCTACCCAGTTGGGTGTCCTTGAACTCAGAGCTTCAGTTGCCTCTACTATAAAATGGAAAGTTTGGATCACTGATCTCATTAACCCTCTTTATGTCTGAGTAAAAATACTGAGCTTTGCTTTGATTGGTTTGCCTTATCATGTGCCTACCTCTGAACAAATTGTTATGGTAAGAACAATGAGATGATTTTTTTTTATAGTCACTGGGTAATACTTAGGGGGTAGGGGAGTAGAGAGGTATATCATCCAGACCACATGGACTATGAATAGAGGAGAGGTGGATCCTCCCTGAAAACTGGGGCTTTTCCTGGAAGTAGGGTGAACAAATGACTGGTATTTGTATCAGTTATCTAATGCCACAATAGTGCTGTGTAACAAATGACCTCAAATCTCATGCCTTAAAAATTATTTAGTTCAGCATTTATTGAGATCAAGAGTCTATGTGCCAATGATTTATGCTGATGTGGGAGGTTCTTCTGGTCTCAGGTGAGTTTGTCCATGTATCTGAGAGTTGGCTTGGTGTTGGCTGATCTAGACTGGTTTTAGCAGGAATGACTAGGATGGCTTAACTCTGCTCCAGGAGGCTTTTATCCTCAGAGAA